AGCAAGAGTTTCCGAACTATAGTAAAATCCAAATTACAGAGACCTTTTGGAAATGCTTATTCTAGGTATTTGAAGCTTCCAGATAGCTAAGATTATGAACAGACACTTTAGAAAAGAAGACATTGATGAGGCCAACAAACATGAAAAAGTGCTCATCATCACTGGTCATTAGAGAAATGCAAACCAAAACCACACTGAGATACCATCTCACGCCAGTTAGAATGGCGATCATTAAAAAATCTGGAGACAACGGATGCTGGAGAGGATGTGGAGAAATAGAAACACTTTTACACTGTTGGTGGGAGTGTAAATTAGTTCAACCATTGTGGAAGACAGTGAGGCGATTCCTCAAGGACCTAGAAATAGAAATTCCATTTGACCCAGCAATCCCCTTACTGGGTATATACACAAAGGATTATAAATCATTCTGTTATAAAGACACATGCACACCTTATGCTCATTGCAGCACTGTTTACAATAGCAAAGACCTGGAACCAACCTAAATATCCATCATAAATAGACTGGATAAATAAAATGTGGCACATATACACCATGGAATACTACACAGTCATAAAAAATGATGAGTTCGTGTTCTTCATAGGGACATGGATGAATCTGGAAACCATCATTCTCAGCAAACTGACACAAGAACAGAAAACCAAACAACGTATGTTATCACTCATAGGCAGGTGTTGAATAATTAGAACACGTGGACACAGCAAGGGGAGCATGACACACTGCGGTCAATTGGGGGGGCCTAGGGGAGGGACAACGGGGGTGGGGAGGGATATTGAGGGGAGAAATACCAGATATAGGTGATGGGGGGATGAAGACAGCAAACTACCTTGCCATGTATGTACCTATGCAACAATCCTCCATGATCTGCACATATACCCCAGAACCTAAAGTAAAATAAAAAAAATTTACATAGTAACTTATTTCTAAGTGTATGCTTTGACATTTAAGCAAACCGAGTAAGCTTTATAAAAAATGTCAGCCATTTCCAAATTATGTTCACACTTGTCTAGAAACATACATGACAGAACTTTGGCAGGACTGTGCAAACTGTTGTGTGTTCTGTTTTCAAAATATTACTTAATTTGTACACTTCCACACATTGGCATGACACATTGCCATTTCTAACACATTCCTGTGCTTCACCAATTTCCACAGCTGTCAGAGGGAGAGCAGCCCAGGTGACAAAAATGAAGCTGTCTGGCTCTGAGTCCTTACAAGGAGGACTTCTGGGATCCAGTCTTTGCATGGGGCAGACAACATATTCTTAGAGGCCATTCATTTTTTTCCACAGTACCTGCTAGTGTCAGTTTCCACTCCACTGCCTGAGGGCAGGTTGATCTTGTAAGCTCTCACTGATGGATTTGTGGTCACTGCCTAGAACCCTGTGCCAAAGAGGACTGGGAGGTCACGTTCAGAAAGAATCCTCTGACTTATTACTGGCATCTGAGAATCTCTCAGCATGGCTGTTCCTACTTATAATAAGATGATGTCAAATGACTCCAGGGCAGTGCTGTGGTTCCCATGAATACACCTGGTCACTATGAGAGCTTCTGAGTCAGTGAGCTCTCTCCTTACATCCCGATACACTGTTGTTTGCAAGAACATATTTTTATAGGCATGGAATTTGTGTTTTGAATTTGCACCCTGACTCAGGCATGAATTTGTTTAAAAGGATAATTTAACATGTTCAGGAAGCTGAACACCTTTAAATCCTCTTTCAATTCTTTCTAGTTTTATTGCATTATGACCCACAAATGGGATGCATATACTTTTTGTTCTTTTATATTCACTAAGGATTCTTTTTGTTTTCAGAATATGACCAAAGATATTTTTATTTCTTTGCAAGTCTGTTGGCTCAGTTTCTGAAAAGTTCATTTTGTTATCATGTTCTTTTGAGTATATACATACAGGTTAGTTAGGTTTACAGTTTTCCTGTGCTTTTTATTTTTTTTAAATACATGTTTCTGGCCCTCATTCTGTCAGACTTTTCCTTCCATGCATAGGGATCTAATGTCTGTCAGTTAAGACTGTTTTCAGCTCTAGATAATCTGACTCACATAGCAAGAACAAGCAAGGGAAGGAGATGAGGCTGAAGAGGCAGGCACCAGGTTGTCTGATCTTTTATTCTGCTGCAGTGAGTAGACAGTAGCAGGGTTTACACAGGGATGGGGGGATGCATATTGTGGGTAACCCCCCATATAGGCACTGAGGAAGGAGAGCTAAGCAGAATCCTGGCGCAATTAAGGCCTGAAGAATATCTCAGTTTATAGTGTTACTACTCAGTGATTTCCTTTTATATAATCCTTTATATAATCATATATTAGTTTATAGAATTAGGGCTTGGAGAATATCTCAGTTTATAATGTTACTACTTAGTTATTTCTCTTTATATAATCCTCAATATATAATCAAGTCAGTTCATAGGATGAGTGCCCAAAGAATCTCTTAACCACTCAATTATTTCCATATATATATATATATATATATATATATACCTACATATAACTATATCTTAGTTCATAATTGGAGGAATGCCTAGAGTAGACACAGTACAGAGCATGAATTAAGGAATAAGCAGCTTATAGTCAGAGGAATGTCTGCAGCAGATACAGTGCAGAGCATGATTTCAGGGAAAACAGTTATACTGGGACAAGAATCCATGGCCCAGGCAACAGCATTCAGTGTCACAAAGATACCTGCTGTATGGCAGGCTTGGGGCAAGAGCCATTCCTCCTGATAAAGGAGTTGTAGGACTTTGCTCCAGTTCTTGCAGAGGGCTGCCCTCAGACCAACTATCCCTTGAGCATCCGAGGGCTCAAAACCCCTCCAGATAACCGCACCTTGGTGACTGTGAACTTTATCAGCTCTTGTTACTGTGGGCTCAAAAAGCATTCTCCTATAGAACTCATTGGAAGCTGCCAGCGGGTGGCAGTAACCCTGACAGCTCTGTCATTGCTGTGTGACTTAAAGCATCCTCCATAAATCTTCTTAGAAGTAGCTTGCCCATAGATAGAGGTATTGCACACTGCACCCTCTTCACTGCGCACAGCCCACCTCCACGCCTCGGTGACCTAATGGGGTGGACCCCTTACTGCACACGGCCCTTGCCTCGATGACCTAATGGGAATGGACCCCTTGCTGTGCACTGTCCACCTCCTAGCCTAGGTGACCTAATGGGGGTGGACCCCTTGTTTTATTGCTCACGATCCTATCACTATCCTTAAAGATGACTTTACTCACTGCCCTGCCCCCTAACCTATACACAATAAATACACACGCTTCTGGACATTCGGGGCCTCGCCTGACTCGACTCATAGGTGGTGTGGTCCCCTGAGCCCAGCTGCATTTTCCTTGTACTTCTGTGTCCTGTCTCTTTATTTCTCAGATCCTGCACCTCAGCACAGCATAAGGGACACCCTACAACCCTGTGGGGCCCTCAGCCCTACACATATACCATGTTTTCACATTTTCAAGAGATCACTCCGGATGCTGACTGGATACTGGACTGTAGGAAGGCAAGACAGGATGCAAGGAGGTTGGAAGATCTTTGGCAACAGACCAGTGGGAGAGGAAGGTAACTGAAACTGGCTGTGGAAATGGAGATGGTCAGTCAGGATGCTGGCTGCCTGCAGACCCACAGGACTGGCTGTGTGGTTGCATGGGGATTGCGGGAGAAGGGAAAAGAGTCAGGGATGCCTGTTGGTGCTCCCCTCAGGGAAGAGGCCTCTACAGATGAGTGGCATTTAAAGCTATGAGACTGTGTGGGATCATTCTCAGAGGATCACTAGAAATCTGGTGGAGGAAGAGCACGAGGAGGAAGATAAAGGTGAAAGGGAATCCTAGAGGGAAGGTTGTTAAAACCCAGACGAAAGGGTTTCAAGGAGGAACTCGTCAATTGTAGCATCTGTGTCAAATGCAGCTAAATGACTGAGGTAAAAGTCATTTCAGCAAAGTGCCCTGGAGGAAAGCTAGAAAGGAGTGGGTTCAAGAGAGGACATGAGGCGAGGTAGTTGCATGGAGCAGAGAAACTGAACGGCAAATAGAAACCTGGGTCAAAGGTCTATTTGTTTAACACATAGCATTAATGAATGCTTGTGTGTGGATACTAGCAAGAAATCAGTACAGAATTCTGGGGTCACAGCCGGGGATGAGAATCCTCAGCTCCAAATTTACTTGAAGTTACAGCTTCCATCTTTAAAATCTTGAAAATCAATGGGATTTTTTTTGCCATCTATTTCATAATACAGGATGTGACACAGAATATATCCCAAATTATTACTTTTCTGGGAGACCATGTCTTAGTTTTTAATATCTAAACTGCATAGCAGCTATTTACCTCACAAAACATTTTTCAGGCCGGGTGCGGTCAGTGGCTCACACCTGTAACTCCAGAACTTTGGGAGGCCAAGGTGGGAAAATTGCTTGAGCCTAGAAGTTCGAGACCAGTCTGGGCAGTGCGAAGAAATGGAGTCTCTACAAAAAATTAAAAAATTAACCGGGTATGGTGGCACACACCTGTAGTCTCAGCTACTGGGGAGACTGAAGCAGGTGGGTTGCTGCAGGCCCTGTGATGGTGCAGTTTGGGCGACAGAGCAAAAACCTGTCTCAAACAAACTTTTTGGCTGATAGTTGTAGAGATAGTGTTTGAGTTTTCAAAAATGACAACATTTTAGCCACTGCTACTGCACAGGAAGCAACTGCATGTTAACAACCATTTCAAATGCGAGTGACCAAATGGCAACATTTTAGGCACTTTACACCCTAATTTATGTGCAACTTAAACCACACTGAGGGAGGAAATTGGAAGGGGTTTTACTATTAACTTGCGTGGCCCTGTAATATTTCCTATTTAAAATAATGGGAAACAGGTTCTCAGTTTTTTTTCTCAGAGAAAGTCTGACATTTCAGACACAGATATAACTGACAGTTACTACCAGCAGAAGAGTTTCCAGCCTTTTCATAGGAAAGTTTTAATTACTTACCTTGGAAATTACTTAACTTCATTCCTTCCAAACCTGGTAGTAAAATGGGTGCCCCAGAAAGATGTAGCACGGATATTCTGCTGCTTTGCCTCGTGCCTGCACAGACCTGGGGCTTGGGTACTCCAGCTTGAGGAGCTTGCAGCCACGAAGTACTGGGACGTTATCAGAATGGAAAAATGACCCAGGTGGTCCCGCCAGGCGCAGTGCTGGGGTGCGGAGAAGTGCGGGCTGCGCACGGAGGGTGGGAGGCCTGCGGGGTCGCCGGGGCTCGGGCCTGTGTTCTTGCCCCCACAGGACAAGGAGGCCCCGATCCAGGTGTTGGTGCCAGCGAAGCGGGGCGTAAGGGCCCTGACACGTGCGCCCGAGCTTCCCGTCTGCATGACAAGGGGCTGGGCTTTTCCCGTCGTGATTTTTCTCAAATTATGCCGGGCGCTAAGCGGGCCCTGCGGGGGCGGGGCGGGGGCGGGGCCGCTTAGCCAGCCCAAGGTCCTGGGGGCCGACGGGAGGATTCGCAGCAGCCCGAGGGACAGGAGGACAGCGGAAAGGGACTCTCAGATTCCCAGTGACCGGTAAATTCGTTTCAAGCAGTGAACTGACGGCTTCAGAGACGGGCCAGGGAGCTCCGAGGGCAGTCCTCAAACAGCCAGCCCCGCCGGCTGGACGCACCGCGCATGCCTCAGGATGCGGGGCAGGGCAGAGGGGATGGGGCGGGGTGGGGCGGGGCGGAGTGGATGGGGCGGGGCGGAGGGGTGGGGCGGGGCGAGGCCGAGGGGATGGGGCGGTGTGGGGCGGGGCGGGGCGGAGGGTATGGGGCGGGGCGGAGGGGCTCGGCGGGGGCGGACCCGCCCAGAGCCGAATGCAAATCGCATCTATGCTACTTTTTTTTTGCCCACGAATCCAACCCAACTTTTTGTTAAATGTGCTATTTTCTGACTATAACGCAGTATGCATCACTGGGCGTGGATAACATGCCAAATCCTGTATAAACCACTATTGATTTCTTTCTTTTCGGGAAGTGCTGTGTAAAGTATGTACATCGTATCTAATAACAGGCCTTGTTTGTTGTGCTTTTCTGTTTGTTTGTTCTTATTTGTTTATCTTTGATAGTTTGGAGGAGTTTCTGAAAGGAAAAGCAATAAACATTTTTTTTTATTGTAATTTAGGTTCTGGGGTACATGTGCAGATCATGCAGGATTGTTGCATAGATACATACATGGCAAGGTGGTTTGCTGCCTTCATCTCCCCATCACCTATATCTGGTATTTCTCGCCTCATTATCCCTCCCCACTTTCCCACCCAGCTGTCCGTCCCCTCCCGCCCCCCCCCCCCCCCCGCTGACCACAGTGTGTGATGCTCCCCTCCCTGTGTCCACGTGTTCTAATTGTTCAACACTGCCTATGAGTGATAACATATGGTGTTTGGTTTTCTGTTCTTGTGTCAGTTTGCTGAGAATGATGGTTTCCAGATTCATCCGTGTCCCTATGAAGGACATGAACTCATCATTTTATATGGCTGTGTAGTAGTCCATGGTGTATATATGCCACATTTTCTTTATTTAGTCTATCGATGATGGACATTGGGGTTGGTTCCAGGTCTTTGCTATTGTAAACAGTGCCACAATGAATATACGTGTGAATGTGTCTATAGAACAATTTATAATTCTTTGGGTATATACCCAATAATGGAATTGCTAAGTCAGATGGTATTTCTATTTCTAGGTCCTTGAGGAATCGCCACACTGTCTTCCACAATGGTTGAACTAATTTACACTCCCAACAGTGTAAAAGTGTTCCTATTTCTCCACATTCTCTCCAGCATCTGTTGTCTCCAGATTTTAAAATGATCGCCATTCTAACTGATTTGAGATGGTATCTCAATGTGGTTTTGGTTTGCATTTCTCTAATGACTAGGGATGATGAGCACTTTTTCATATGTTTGTTGGCCTCATCGATGTCTTCTTTTGTAAAGTGTCTGTTCATATCCTTCACCCACTTTTGAATGGGCTTGTTGGTTTTTTTTTTTCCTTGTAAATCTGTTTTAGTTCTTTGTAGATTCTGGATATTAGCCCTTTGTCAGATGGGTAGATTGCAAAAATTTTTTCCCATTCTGTTGGTTGCCGGTTCACTCAAATCATTGTTTCCTTTGCTGTACAGAAGCTCTGGAGTTTAATTAGATCCCATTTGTCTGTTTGGCTTTTGTTGCCATTGCTTTTGGTGTTTCAGCTGTGAAGTCCTTTATCTACCTTTGGTCTTTGAAGTTGGTGACTTTCGGATGTGGTCTCTGAGTGGGTGTCCTTTTCATTCATGTTGAGGCTGTTTCGTTTTTTAGTTTTCCTTCTGAGAATCAGCCCCCTCTGCTGCAGTACTGCTGGAGGTCCACTCCAGACCCTGATTTCCTGGGAATCTCCCACAGTGGGGCTGCAGAACAGCAAGGATTGCTGCCTGTTTTTTCCTCTGGTAGCTTTGTCCCAGAAGGGTACCCGCCAGATGACAACTAGAACTCTTCTGTATGGGGTGACTCTTTGGATATATACACAGGGGTCAGGGATCCATTGAGGAGGCAGTCTGTTCCCTGTCAGATCTCAAGTGCTGTTCTGGGAGCAATTGGGCAGGGGTATTTAAATCTGCTGCAGTGGAACTCACAACTGCCCCTTTTCCCAGGTGCTCTTTCTTGGGAAGGTGTGGCTTTATTTATAAGTCCCTGACAGGCTGCTGCCTTTTTTCAGAGATGCTCTGTCCATGCAGGAGGAATTCTAGTCACAGTCTGCCTGCAGAGGCATTGTAGAGCTGCCACCGGCTGCTTGCAGCTGCTGTGTAAACTTCTTTGTGCTTTTCTTTACACAGGTAAGATTAAAACTGCCTCGGTAATGACAGACACCCCTCTCCCATGGAGCTCGACCGTCCAGGATCAAGCTCAAACTGCTGTGCTGGCTGCAAAATTACCAAGCCAGTGGGGTTCAGTTTGCTGGTCTCTGTGGGGGTGGGACCTGTGGAGCCAAGTCACCTGGCTCCCTGCCTTCAGCCCTCTTTCTCTCAGCTGTCTCGCAGGTGCTCCAGTAGCCAGTTAAAACGTCTGCTCAGACTTGTGCTGGGAACTCATGGCGCTGGCTGAATCTGCTGCCCAGATTTGCCCTGGAAACCTGTGGCACCTGTTGGCATGTGGGGATCTTCTGGTCTGTGGGCTGCAAAGACTGCAGGGGAAGCGCAGTATCAGAACCAGAGCTCTGGAGTGGCCAGATGTCCCTGATGGCTTCCTTTGGGGGGGGATCCTCTGTCCCATTGCATTTCCTGGGTGAGGCAGTGTCCCACACTGCCTCAATACTGCCTCAGTTTGCCCTCCTTGTGCTACACCCACTGTACAACCAGTGCTATTGAGATGAACCCGGTACCTTGGTTGGAAGTGCGAAGATCACTCACCTTCTAGGTCACTCTCACTGGAAACTGGGTTCTGGAGCTGTTTCTATTCAGCCATCTTGGTGGAAGTCTATTTTATTTTATTTTAAGACAGGGTCCCTCTATGTTGCCCAAGCTGATAGCAAAGTCCTGACCTCAACCAGCCTCCCATCTTGGCCTCCCAAAGACTAGGATTACAGGCATGGAGCACCATGCTTTCATCACCAACTCACATGCTGAATGTTTCACTAGTTCATTTATTGCCTGTTTTACTCTACTAGTGTGAGGGCTACATGAGGAAAGGGCCTTTGTTTATCTCATTCACTGCTGTAGGCAAGTGTCTACAATGTATAAGTTGATTTTTTTTCTTTTAATTTAAATTTTGGGAAGCAGAAGACACCTGAGTGGACTCAGTGGCCGACAGGAAAAGGGAGTGCACCTTTGTGTGCACAAGAATGACAGGGAGACCAAGACAGAGACATGTCAGAGGACAGTTCCTGGAATAGGCTGGGAGAAAGGCAGGGTAAACTGGGAGGTTCCCTCTGGACATCAATTTTTTTTTAAGCTGGCAGGGAGGGAGGAGGTGCATGGGTGGAGAGGAGTGCCTGAAGAAGACCTCATTGGCTTCCATATTCTTCATGAAGTGACAGGTGAGGGGCTTCCTAGGAATAGAGGGCAGGGGAGGAGTGAGTCGAGGCTGTTGATGGTGGGCCTGGCGAAGTGTGCCAGGGAGAAGGGGTGAATGCATAACTGAGGCTGGACTCTGGTCATGACCCTTGCCTTGGCCTCAAGACTCACTAAAAACCAGTCTTCTCTAGTGAGCTGAGATCGCATTACTGCATTCCAGCCTGGAAACAGCGAGACTCCAGCCAAAAAAAAGACCAGCCTCCAGTCCCAATGTGCACAGCTGGACCATAAGCTGCTTCCTGGATGTGCCACCATTACAACTGAACCACAAATCCTGAGTCACCTCCTCCAGAAAGCCTGCCTGGATTCAGTGCCCATCTGACTGGGCTCCCGCAGCACCTAGTCTGCCCCTTCTATGTGACTTGCCTTTGCCTGCCTCTTATCACAGGTGTCTGTGTTCTTACCTGCCTTAGTGTGGGCTCTCAAAGGCAGGGCAAGACTGATCTATTTTAGAGGCTAGAGCAGGTGCCAGCAATGGCTGGGCTCTGCCAGGTCTGGGCAGGCCAGATTCTCATGCTAGGCAGCAGGCGCTCTTTGTGGGCCCAACTTGGCATGACCACTGCTTCTGAGTGGCCAGGAGCTTCCTGGTAGCAGCCTGGTTCTGTTGGGCTGTTCCTCACTCCCTAGTTCCTTCCTCCCTCCCTCCCTTCCTGGAACCCTTCCCCATGTCCTCAAAATCCTGCTCCAGCACCAGCAGTTCCCTGGTTTTCGGCAGCCTCAGGGAATTCTTCCTTTTCCTTGCTCTAAGTAAGAGGCCTGATCCCCTGGGGACACTGCTGCCTTGCTGGCCCTTCCCTGGGCCTGAGTGGGGTAGGTCCTCCTTGCTTCTCATTGCCTCCCTTTCCCAGCTCATCATCCTTCCCTCCCCCATAAGGACAGTTATGTGCCATAAAACGATGTTTCGGTCAACCCAGACCAAATGTGCAATGGCACTCTCATGAGACTATAATGCAGCTGAAAGATACCTACGGCCCTGCCTAGTGACATAACAAGTTTAAACTGTAACATTGTGGTACAGTTTAAAAAGTACATTTATTAAAAATGATTTGTAATGCTATAGAAAATGAAAGCTAAAATATATAAAAAAAAATGTAGCATAGCCTAAGTGTCCAGTGTTTATAAAATCTACAGTTGTGCACAGTCGTGCCCCAGGACTTCGCCTTCACTCACCACTCACTGACTCACCCAGAGCAGCTTCCAGTCCTGCACGTTCCATTCATGGTAACTGTCCTAGACAAGCGAACTACGTCTAGGTACCATACTGTATTTTCATGTAGTGCCATACTATATTTATAATGTACCTTTCATGATATGTTTAGATGTGCAAATACTCATCATTGCACTACAGTGGCCAGCAGTGTTCACCGCAGGAGCGTGCGCCCAGGTGTGCAGCCTGAGAACAGTAGGCTGTGCCATAGAGCCTGGGTGTGTGGCAGGTACACTACTGAGTTCTGTGTGTGCACACTCTGTGATGTTTGCACAAAGACCAATTGCCCAAGAACAGAGTGACACATGAAGGGAATAAGGATCGAAGCTCCTGTACTCAGATTACACCCAGGGCCACACCCTTATGCACTGAAGACTTAGCTCCCAGTTCATGGGCACTTTCTCCTGCTGGGCGATGCCAATATGCACATAGAGAGCCCTCCTCACACTCTGGCTCTTGGTCCCTTCACCCCTAGAGACCTTGTCTCCACCCTCCGTCAGTCACCACTCCCACCAGTGTATTCTTGCCCTTGTCACTGCAGAAACTGTAGCTCCTCCATATTCCCCATTTGAAACTCCCATTT